CTCGGAAAACTGTTCAGAGTCCATTCTGAGTTCGTCTAAGCAACGTAGCTATTACTTATTGTAAATCTATTGTTTAATTTTCCCTCCCTCCCTCCCTTTGGAGACGAGGTTGGTCATGTATTCCTGCATAATGAACAAAGGGTCACTCCTGTGTGGTGCGGTTAAGTCTGCGCAGCGACTTCCCCCAAGCTTGTTGTTTTTTCATGGCCTTTGAACATCGCTTGCTAACCAATACTCTTGTCCGATCTAGCATGTGCTGTCTGTCATTCAGCTCGTAGTGCTGGGGAGATAAGTGAGGTTGTTTTGTTACGCTATCGCCAGAAGTCGCATGGGCTAACCAAATGTAAGGCAGTGTTCCCCCATTAATGCCATCACGAGCTGTTTGTATTCGAGTAATAGCTCTGGTTCAATCGCAAGTCGCCATGGTTAACTTACTTTCGCTAGGAACAACGACATTAATAATTTTCAATTACAATTCTGTATTGAGTTTACCCTGACTACACTCTACGCTCTATGCTACTCTCCATTTTCCACCATCTACGCTCTATACTCTACGTATTTACGAGTTTATCAGTTCAAGAATTTTTGACTACTCTCTACACTAGCTTAGAGGTTTAAAAAACCAGTAGAGTGATAAAAAATATTAGGCTGCGAGTGTGAGTTTCTCAATCATCTGTGATGCTGTAATTTTTGTAATTGTAATTTATTGGCTTTCTTTATTATCTCATATATTACACTCACTTTCAGTGTTATGTGCATAGGCAACATCTTTTGACTATCTCTTGACATTCCATCTTTCAACACACTATGTAGACGGCTGAAATACCGTTTACCTGTGAAACTAGCAATTTTTCTGGTTATTAGTGGAACAAATGACAAGTATATGATAATTACTGACCTCAAATGAATGAAAAAGATTGTGGACTCCTGATGTATGGGATAATTCAAATTGTTACGATATACGCCGCTTCCGATGGATTTGATTGACACTTAAATGATTGTGAGATACCGATATATCTAGGGTCTT